GCTCTTTGTAACCAGCTCAATGGGCTATTTAGTTACATGGTGTGTTAATTATGCAGGAGGAGAGTTGGAGGGATGATTTTATGAGGAGGATCGTGATGAAACATGGGAAAGAGACGGAAACGACAAAGGAAAAACACTCCGAAAAGTCTCACCTTACACACTATAAATAACAGAAACATAAATGCTCTTATTTTAATGATGCATAAACTCCAGATAAGTGTGTCTGTCTCAGCCACACACGGCTGTAAACTAAAGGGAGCCTCAATAGTCCAGCTGTTTAACATGATTCCAACAGGGGGCGCTGCGCTCATGAACAGAGGTGAAATATAGAAGCTGGAGCTTACAGATGTCAGAGATCTGATGTAACCTTATTGTTTATTCATTTAGTGACGAGGGTCTGTTTGAGATGAAGTCCTGACGAGGAACGTATCTTTGTTCATAGCTGGTGTCTAAATATCTGCAGTGTTCAAAAATATGTGAACGCGCAATCATCACATGACGGCAGTTAAACGTGATTCTGTCGCTCAGGAAACGGAAGCATTCTGCAAATCAAAGTGGAACTATTCATGTTTTGAAGTGTTTGGATATAACAGCCCGCCTACATGGTGCTTTTTACTAACGATAAACACGCAGCCCTGTTTTAAAGCAGCCTGTTCGATTTATCAGATGAGTTTAAGTTGATTCTGGATCATGTGTCATGTTGTCGGCTCTGGTTTACGATGTTCTGCGTCTCCTGCAGGGCAGAGCACCCTGAAATCCATCATGAAGAAGAAAGACGGCCGAGCCGACTCCAACGGCACGAAGAAGAACCTGCAGTTCGTCGGGGTGAACGGAGGGTGAGAATGTTTTGAATCAGAAGTTTGCAGCGTGAGAGTTTTTCAGTGTTTGTGTCCCGGCTGAGGTCAAAGGTGGCAGGGCTCACGTTTGCTCAGCTGCGTCGACGCAGAGCCTCACGAGCTCGTTAGTGTTGTTCGCAAATATGAAACCCGAGCTGCTGATCTGCACTCACATCTTTGTTTCTGCACCTCTGTCGCCCCCTCGTGGCGCAGATACGAGACTACGTCGAGTGACGACTCCAGCTCGGAGGACAGCAGCTCCTCTGGGTCAGACGAAGAGGACGAGGAGGAGGAGGAGGAGGGGTACGGAGGAAAGGAGGAACACCAGAAAGTGGAGGGGCAGAGCACGAGGGAGGAGTTCCAGCCCGAGGGAGCAGAGGACGTGGACAAGAAGGATGACGAGGAAAGTTCAGAGAAGCAGGAGACGAGAGAGAGGCGAGTATAGAAGATGAAATCATGATGATATTTTTCTGTCTGTAAATTTGATCAGTTATGTTGGGACGAGGCTGAAGCTATTAGAAGAATGACGTCTGTTTGACCTCGACTCAAAGGTACGAGCTGAGCGAGAAGATGCTGGCTGCATGCGGCGTTCTCAAGTCGCACCTCAGTGACTCCAAGGCTGTGACCAACAAAGACCTGGTGAGGAATCTGATCAGCTGTTTGTTAAATGATGTCATGAAACGTGGTTTGGAGCGCAGCGCTGACCAGTCACCACGGTGGATTCAGTGTGACACGCCCACTGTGCACCCAGAGCTGGGCCTTTAGCTAAATTTGCCTGTCGGCGTGCTGATGGTCACTTCCTGTCTGTGCAGAGAGGCTGTCTCAACACGGTGCAGCACGAGTGGTTCCGCGTGTCCAGTCAGAAGGCGGCGGTGGCGGCCATGGTGGAGGATTACCTGGGAGCGTTCACGGACTTCTCTCCCACCGTGCTGCGCCACATCGTCAACATGGCCGACGGCAACGGCAACACGGCGCTGCACTACAGCGTTTCACACTCAAACTTCCAGGTGGTGAAGAAGCTGCTGGATGCAGGTGAGAGCTGCGTTCGTGCGAAGAGGCTTTGAAATGATCGGCTCCCAGGAGACGAGGGCGCTGCTGAGGGAGGGGCTTCATCTCCCGCCTCCAGCTTCTTCTTCTCCATTTATACTGTTTG